GGCCCCTGCCCGTTGCCTTTGTGCTGTTGTTTACCAGCCCATCTCAGAGGTGGGGGGGGGCGGCTGAAGCGGATGTTTATTCTCAGCATCGTCAGGCTGCGCTAATCAGCCCCCTGCCCCTCTCGACGGCGGGGGGGAGCTAAGGATAGACTCCGGTTCTCAGCTGCGGCAGCTCACACAGCTGGATGGACCGGCCCCCCGCTCGGAGCTGGAGGGGACACGGCCTCTGTGCCGAGCAACCTGGGCCTTGGAGCCAGTGAGAGGTGAAGCGGCTGGCTCAGGGGGCAGGGAATGGGGCAGGGGCCTATCCCCTCCAGGGGCCTTTCGCCTCCAGGGCATGACCTGGCTGGCTCGGGGGGGTGGGGGGTGGGGAATGTGGTGTGGGGTCTGTCCCCTCTGGGGGGCGCTGGCTCCCATCCGGCCCCAGGGCAGGGCCTGGCTGGCTCAGGGGGGCAGGGAATGGGGCAGGGGCCTGTCCCCTCTGGGGCCATGTCTGGAAGGCAGAACTTGGTCCCGTGGGTGGGCCATGCTGGGTCGCAGGAAACGTGGTTGGCTCCAGCCCCCCAGCCTGGGTTCTATCCTGGCTCTGGGGGGCAGAGGGGTCTAGTGGGTTAGAGGGGGGCTGAGAGCCAGGACTCCTGGGTTCTGTCCTGGCTCTGGGGGGCAGAAGGGTCTAGTGGGTTAGAGGGGGGCTGGGAGCCAGGACTCCTGGGTTCTGTCCTGGCTCTGGGGGGCAGAGGGGTCTAGTGGATTAGAGGGGGGCTGGGAGCCAGGACTCCTGGGTTCTGTCCTGGCTCTGGGGGGCAGAGGGGTCTAGTGGGTTAGAGGGGGGCTGGGAGCCAGGACTCCTGGGTTCTATCCTGGCTCTGGGGGGCAGAGGGGTCTAGTGGGTTCGGGTGGGTTCCCCTCCTGGCCCTCACAGGGAAGCCAGGCTGGGTACGATCGCTCTGCTGAAGTACTAATGCTGGTTATCATCACTCCGCCCTTGGAACACTCATCACCGAGCTCCCCTCCAGCCCTATCTGAACGCTCGGGTTTTAATTAGAAAATGTAATTAAACGGCAGAGAGACCCGGGGGAGGGAATTAGTGGAAAGAACTCATTCAACTGGGACCTGGGCGGGCATGGACGGGCAGCGCTGCCCTCTAGTGGGCAGAAAGGGAATCACAGCTCTCGGGTATCCCCAGACGCCCCCATCTCCGCAGCAGGGAACAGCTGTGTGTCCTAGTCCTTCCACCGCGAGCAGGGATTCCCCAGCAGCTCAGGCAGGGGGCGGGGCTCTGTCCCCCACCTCCCAGGAGATCCCAGCTGGGACATTGATGATTTCACCAGATCCCAAGGCCACAAACCGTCTGAGCTCCGTGTCAGACCCACATGGCCCAAATCTGCAGCCAGAGCAACACAAACACTCCAAGGACAGAAACTGGGGAATCCCGCAGGCAAAGGGGGGGCTCCCCAGTTCCCACAGAAGGGGGAGGGAACAGAGTTAAAACCTGTCTCTTATCATTGCTACTATTACAATAGCTCTTTGACACCCCAGCTGAGATCAGGGCCCCCTCGCGCCGGGCGCTGCCCAGACCCCAGCCAAGATCAAGGCCCCGTCGGGCTGGGCGCTGCCCAGACCCCGACCGAGATCAAGGCCCCGTCGGGCCGGGTGCTGCCCACACCCCAACCGAGATCAAGGCCCCGTTGGGTCGGGTGCTGCCCACACCCCAACCGAGATCAAGGCCCCATTGGGTCGGGTGCTGCCCACACCCCAACCGAGATCAGGGTCCAGTCGGGCCGGGCACTGCCCAGACCCCAGCCGAGATCAGGGTCTGGTCGGGCCGGGCGCTGCCCAGACCCCAGCCGAGATCAGGGTCCGGTCGGGCCGGGCGCTGCCCACACCCCGACCGAGATCAAGGCCCCGTCGGGCCAGGCGCTGCCCACACCCCGACCGAGATCAAGGCCCCGTCGGGCCGGGTGCTGCCCACATCCCGACCGAGATCAAGGCCCCATCATGCCGGGCGCTGCCCAGACCCCGGATGAGATCAGGGCCCCGTCGCGCCAGGCGCTGCCCAGACCCCAGCCAAGATCAGGGTCTGGTCGGGCCGAGTGCTGCCCACATCCCGACCGAGATCAAGGCCCCATCATGCCGGGCGCTGCCCAGACCCCAGCCGAGATCAGGGTCTGGTCGGGCCGAGCGCTGCCCAGACCCCGGCCGAGATCAGGGTCCCGTCGGGCCGGGTGCTGCCCATATCTCTGCCTCACAGATCATCCGAAAGGCAGCTCCTGCTCTGTGCAGAGACCCCCCCAGAGGAGCGGGAAGCTCCAGGCCTTGGGCGCAGTCATCTTAGGCTGGAATCGCGGCCCTCTGGCCTTTGCCCAGCGCAGGTGTACGGAGATGGTGACCGGGGGGATATTACCCCAAGCCCACCATGTCTGTCCATTTGCCTGGAACCAGCCTAGGTTCCCTAGGGGCATTTTCTTAATTAACTGACTAACATAATTGGTGTGAGTATAAGGGGGCTGTTTACCCCTCGCTAAGCCCCAGCCCGGCACTGGGTGTGCCAGTTCTTGGATGACGCCAGCACGCCGGCCCCCTGCGAGACACTGGGCAGGAGCAGCCGGAATGCTAGCACCGCCATCAGAGCCGGCTGGGACTAATCTAACGGGCAGCACCTGGCCACGGCATGAGACCGCACGCAGCAAACACGGTGTCAGCCTGCCTGCCCGCTGGGCATCGACCAGAGACAGCGGCTGAGCCGGAGTCGCTAACACGCTGCAGCCACCACACAGAGCAGCTGAGGGGGGCAGGTGATGGGGGAGTGGGGGGACCCTGTGATGCTGCAGGGTCCGGGGAGCCAGGAAGCGGGGTGCAGGGCAATAGGCGGGCAGGGGGCACGGGGCAGTGCTCTGGCGATAAATCCGGGCTGTGTACTCAAGGAGGCTGCTGTCTGTAAGGCCCCCTGGCTAGTTAGGTGCAGAAATTAGAACTGCACAGACCTCCGCCACTGGAGCGAACGGTAGCAGTAGTAGGTTGTCACCTATATGCAGACCAGCACTATATGAGCCCACCGTGTGCTGCCGCTGCCAAAGGGGCTCGGATCAGCCCGGGGCGCAGCAACAGGCCGGGAGTGGCGGATGTGAGACGCGGGAGGTGACTGTCCCGCTCGGGACGGCCCCAGCAGGAGCCCGGTGTCCCGTTCAGGCAAGCTGGGGAGAGCCCGGAGGAGAGCGGACGGACTGAGCGAAGGTTCAGCCAACCTGCGCTGCGAGGAACGTTACAAACCCGGGGCCTGTTTGCGCCGGAGAGAAGCCTGAGGGGCCCTGAGAACCGGCCTCCCACGCGCAGGGCTGGGGGAGGGGTTGTTCTCCACGCCCACTGGGGCAGGACAAGGGGCAGGGTCCGTATCCGGAGCAGGGGGGTTAGGTCCGGTATCCAGGAATCCCAGGGTAGCTGAGCTCTGAAATAGGGTCCCCAGGGCGGCTGGGACGTCCCCGTCTGTCACGGAGGGTTTAAGGGCGGCTGGACAAACCCCTGCCAGGGCTGGTCTGGGTTTGCTGGATCCTGCCTCAGCGGCGGGGGCTGCACTTGAGCTCCAGAGGCCCCTCCCAGCCGGCGTTTCTATGAGTCTATAGAAGGGGGAGTCCTGACTCCCAGCCCCTCTTGCTCTAGCCACTGGGTCACACTCCCCTCGCTGGGGATAGAACCCAGGAGTCCTGACTCCCAGCCCCTCTTGCTCTAGCCACTGGGTCACACTCCCCTCGCTGGGGATAGAACCCAGGAGTCCTGACTCCCAGCCCCTCTTGCTCTAGCCACTGGGTCACACTCCCCTCGCTGGGGATAGAACCCAGGAGTCCGGGCTCCCACATCCTTCCTCTCCTAGCAATACAGCACAGGCCATGGTAATGCAAAGCAACCTGCCTCCACCCTAGTCAGGCCAACGTTAGTGGGGGTCATGTAGCGCGATCAGCGCAGGCTGGGTTCCCGTGCCTCGCAGAGAGCTCAACGAACTCTGGGTTGTCTTGGAGCTGCGAGTGATCACCCTCAGCACACCCCAAACACAAACAGGTATGCACCCCGTATACAGCCAGCTATGCACCCCAATGCACCCTGAACACAGCCAGCTATGCACCCCAATGCACCCCAAATATAGCCAGCTACACACCCCAATGCACCCTGAACACAGCCAGCTATGCGCCCCAATGCACCCCAAGTACAGCCAGCTATGCACCCCAATGCACCCCGAATACAGCCAGCTACGCACCCCAATGCACCCCGAGTGCAGCCAGCTACACACCCCCAGTGCACCGTGAGTGCAGCCAGCCACGCACCCCAATGCACCCCAAACACAGCCAGCTATGCACCCCAATGCACCCCAAACACAGCCAGCTATGCACCCCAATGCACCTTGAATGCAGGCAGCTACGCGCCGCAATGCAGCCCGAATGCAGGCAGCTACACTCCCGAATTCTCCATTAGCCCCCCCCAGCTGCAGGTATCCCCAGGCTGCCAGGGAGCCCCAAGAGCCTGTACTGACAGGTGCAGCAGCTGCACACTCCAGTCTGCCCAGTTACTGGCGTCTTTCTGCTCTCAGGGCAGCAGAGGGCGCCCCCGCACCACCTTTCCCTGCGTGCGCCCTCCCTCCACTGTCTCCAAGGCCAGTAGCTGCAAAGAGAACCTGCCAATGCACACGTGTGTGCCAATGTGCAAGGCTGTGCATGGCCAAGCATGCTTTCCGGTGCTAGTGCATGGCCACGCACGCTTCCTGGTGCTCAGGCAAAGCCACGCATGCTTTCCGGTGCTAGTGCAAGGCCGTGCCCGCTTCCTGGTGCTCAGGCAAAGCCACGCATGCTTTCCGGTGCTAGTGCAAGGCCGTGCCCGCTTCCTGGTGCTCAGGCAAAGCCACGCATGCTTCCTGGTGCTCAGGCAAAGCCACGCATGCTTCCCGGTGCTAGTGCAAGGCCGTGCCCGCTTCCTGGTGCTAGTGTGAGGCCGTGCATGCTTCCTGGTGCTCCGGCAAAGCCACGCACGCTTCCCGGTGCTAGTGCAAGGCCGTGCCCACTTCCTGGTGCTAGTGCAAGGCCGTGCACACTTCCCGGTGCTCAGGCAAAGCCACGCACGCTTCCCAGTGCTAGTGCGAGGTTGTGCCTGCTTACCAGTGCTGGTGCAAGGCCACGCACGCTTCCCGGTGCTAGTGCAAGACCGTGCCTGCTTCTTGCCACCAGTGCAACCTCACAGCTGAACATCAACAACTAAAGCACTCCCCTTCGGCGTAGGGGTGTCCGGGAGAGAGAACGGTGCATGGGGGTCCCAGCTCAGGAGCCCCAGGGCTGCCTCACGGGGGGATAAGAGAGCCCAGGCCCAGCCGGTTTCAGCATTGGCTCGTGCCTGGGAGCCCTCGCTGCCCCGGGGTGCAGGGACACCCGCCCAGCGGGGGTGGCACAGAAAGCCCCACCCACCAGCCTAGGGCCTTAACTACATCCTCCCCCTCCAGCTCGGGACCCCTCGGAGACTGCAGCTGGTGGCATTTACCTCCCCGCAGGCTCCCAGCCTGGGGGAGCCCCCGGAGGTGCCCACAGCCCTGGCCCTTGCCCTGGTGGGCATTGTCCACTTGCCTGTCAAGGGGGCCGGCTGGCTGGGACGGGGCCTTTCCCCTCTAGGGGGCGCCGGCTCTGATCTGGGGCCTGGTCAGTGCCTGTTGCCACCTTCTCACCCATTCGGTGCCCCTCCCGATGCCATAAGCTCAAGGGGTCTCACCCCTCGTTGTAGGGGGCAACTCCCTGCCAGGCCGCACCACGCCAACAGGGACGCCGAATGGACAGGCCCCTGGTCCCCTGAATGGAGGAGACACCCCCGGTGCCGCTCTCACCTCGTCCACCGTCACAGCCAGGACGCTCCGGCTCTTCTTCATGTCCCCGTCCAGCCGGGGGTCTCCTCTGCTCTCAGCCACGCGGCCCTAGGACGCAGGGCAAGGGCCGGAGTTAAACGCTGCTCTCGCTGGCTGCCTGGAGCCTGAAAGACAGTGACAGGGGGGTGGGGGCATTAGATCCTGGCTGCCCCATCCCTCCGCACGATTTCCCAGCAACAGGGGCCCCCTGCAGCCAAGGCCCTTAGGACAGGATCCTGCCCCATCCCCTCCACATCCCCGGCCGCACCCAGCCCCCACTAGACCCCACTCCCCTCCCAGAGCTGGGAACAGAACCCAGGAGTCCTGACTCCCAGCGGTGAGGGGAACGGGGCCAGACCCAGGACGTCACAGGACCAGCCCAGCCGCCCTCTGTCTGGTGTGTGCCCAATTCAGACCAACGTCTCTCTCCACGCCTGGGGACAGCCTCCCCAGGGGGCGATTTCATGAACTAACCACCCCGGCTCAGGAGAGGCCGGGCGGTAAAATTCATCCCAGAAATACCCTTGTGCAAAATGGGGCGGCAGGTTCACAACAGAGGGAGGGGAAGGGTTAGTTCACCCCAGCCGTGCCGCAGAGGACCCAGGGGAAGGGCTGGCAGGACAGGTTCTGTGTAACGTGGACACACTGTACGTGTGAATGCTTGCACAGCCCCGCACACGTGAACCACCGGAACTGTCTGCACCGTGCACACACATTTGCACACGTCCCCTGTGCACAGCGTGCATACTGAAGTTCCCCCACACCGCAGCAGCCCTGCGGCCCGACACGCTTGCTGCAGCAGTGTTCAGATGCTGCAGGTGCTCCCGCGAGTCCCGGCTTCCTCCGGGCAGCCCAGGGAAATCCACCCCCTCCAGTCCCAGCGCACAGAACGGGAGCCCCGGGCCCTTGGACGGGCAGGGGGGCCAGCCCCACGGGAATGGGTCTGGGCAGCGCCCGGCATGACGGGGCCCCAATCTCGGCTGGGGTCTGGGCGGCGCCCGGCTCGATGGGGCCCTGATCTCGGCTGGGGTCTGGGCGGCGCCTGGTGCGACAGGGCCACAATCTCGGTTGGGGTCTGGGCGGCGCCCGGCCCAACAGGGCCACAAACTTGGTTGGGGTCTGGGCAGCGCCCGGCGCGATGAGGCTCTGATCTCGGCCGGGGCCCTGATCTCGGCCGGGGTCTGGGCAGCGCCCGGGACAATGGGGCCTGATCTCGGTCGAAGTTTGGGCAGCGCCTGGCACGTCAGGGCCCTGATCTCAGCTGGGGTCTGGGCAGTGCCCGGCGCGACAGGGCCCTGATCTCGGCTGGGGGCTGGGCAGCGCCCGGCGCGAGGGGGCCCTGATCTCGGCTGGGGTCTGGGCAGTGCCCGGCGCGACAGGGCCCTGATCTCGGCTGGGGGCTGGGCAGCGCCCGGCGCGAGGGGGCCCTGATCTCGGCCGGGGTCTGGGCAGTGCCCAGTGCGACGGGGCCCTGATCTCAGATGTGCTCTGTGCAGCTCTAGCATAATATCAATAACGAAGAACACCACGTGGCTCCCAAGAAGGGCTGAGATGGGACTGTGGGGAATTCTTGTCACAGCCCCAGTCGAGGATCAGCTGGTTCTGGGGGTGGAGAAAGGCAAGGGAAGGATCTGTGCATGGGTGCGATTTCACTCTCAGCAGCGACCTTGCCAAGCAGGTCTCACCTGGCACTTGTTCATTCCTTACGGTTCTCACCTGCCTGGGGTTGTATTTAACCAGGACCCGCTGCCGGGAAGCGTCTGTCTCTCAATCGCCCGCCCGCCAGCCAGGGGAAAGCTGGCGAAAGCAGCAGCAGGCGAGGGCAGCCAGCTGCCTCTGAGCTGCCCTTCCAAGACGGGTGCAACTCTGCTGCAAGCTGGGGGCCCCCCAAACCCTACCCCGGAGCCCCAGGAGCCTTCGCAACAGAGACCCACCCTCAGCTGGCAGCTCACGGACCTGTGGAGGCAGGGGAATCCCACTTGCCCCCCACCCCCGCCCCAGAGACAGGGGGCACCAGGACAGGGGTGTTCTCCTGGGAATAGCAGGGCAGGGCCCAGGGAGCAGTGCAGGATGGACCCTGGGAGAGCATTGGCAAGGCCGCCCCCTCCTGCAGCTCCTTGTTTCTAACCCCCAGCAGCCCGGGACAGGCCTGCAAAGGGGCCCGTGGGCCTGGGGCTAACAGGGCAAGCCCAGAAGGGAGCCGCGTGGGCCCCGCGCTGAGCCGAGGGGGCGGGGGGGGGGGGGAACCGCGTCAGCATGGACTTCGGAGAGTCCTGCGGCTCGCCAGCCGGGGCCAGGGACTCCCCAGGAATGGACGTGCTGGAGCGAGAAGGGCGGGGCTGCGGGGAATAGGGGGCTCTGGGGCAGGCTAGGTGAGGAGGCCAGAGGAGGATGGGCTCAGGCTGTAGGTGCCCCTCTGGCCCCAACCCCAGCAAAGGGTCCGGACAATCGGCAGATTTGGGCTCCGTCAGACCAACCCCTCCCTCCCGGCCCGGGAGTCCCGGGGACATCACAGCAGTACCTAGAGGCTGTAGATCAGAGCCCTGAGCGCTGCAGAGACCCTGCCCGACCCCAGAGAGATCAGGGATGGGAAGAGAAACAGGGGAAGGGACTGGCCTCGGTCCCACAGCGGCTCAGCGACAGAGCCAGGAATAGAAGCCAGGAGTCCTGAGTCCCCACCCTGCCAGCCCATTCTCTCGCCCCGGCTCTCTGCTGGCTACAAGACTCACACAGAGAAGATTCCTCCCACCCAGGGGCCGTTCCGTGGGGCCAGGGGGGCGCAGGCAGGATCCCAGAGCTCCACTGTCCACAGGACACCCAAACGCCGTCTCTCCCGCTCTCCCTTATTTCAGCGCCATCGCTCTCAACTGCCATTCCAGCTACAGCCATAAAACCAGCCCAGGGCCCAGAGTTAGCGCCGAGCAGGGCAGGAGCGGGCCAAGGAGCCCTCGCGGAATCAATCCCCTGCATTAAGCAGCAGACTGAGGAGTTATTTCCTGAATAATTAATTGTTTAACTCCATTGCATACCCGGGGGAGGGGAAACAGCAGCGGAAGCACTGCGGTGACGCTGCTCAGCGGCGCAGGTCCGTCGTTCAAAGGATGGGCTGAGTTCGCAAAGAGCGCTCCGAGGGGCACAACCGAACCCGCTGCCCCAGGCACAGACCCTTGGCACTCAGGAGGATCTCAACTGGCAGCAGCAAGAGGTTGTTATCCTGCACTGGCTCAGGAATGCCACACACACACCCAGGACTACCTGCCCTTCGAGTCACTCCACTGTCCGACAGCAGTAGTACACTGTTATACACACAGCCAGTGGGTAGCCCAGCGACACTGCAAAATGGAGCCCGCTGTAGGGCTGACACCGGAGAGCGGAGAGCCCCCTCGGAGCGCAGCCGTGCCAGGCCAGACAGCCCATCCGAGCGAGGCCAGCTAGCAGCCTTCATCTGCCTCCTGAGTGGGCCACTTTACTACAGAACTGCCCCGCTGCACTCCCCAGGCCGCAGCCCCCTGCTGGATCGGAGCCAGTGCCCCATGGCCCATTCCTTGGGGCCAGATCGGAGCCAGTCCCCACGCCCCTGAGCCAGCCAGTCCATGTGAAAGCGGTGGCCCCTCGCTCCTGGGAGTCTCTGCTGTTTCCCTGCCCGGGACCCATTCATGCCTCGCTGAGTGTGGAGGACGTCACCCCCCACTCAATGGGAAGCGGGCGGAGACCCTTTGAATTCACTGCGCCTGGGGGTCCCCGCAGGGCTGTCGGACGGGATCGGCTCCCGTCGCTCCTGACCTGGGCCGGCTACGTTCACGGAGGCTCGCTAGGGGGTTCATCTCCACCCTGACCCAGCAGGTCCCCCGCTCGCTCTGGCTCTGCCCGCCCCCAGCCAGCTCCCCATAAATCTGCTGAGGCCTAAATATTTAGGCTGCACCAGGAAGGGCAGACGTCACGCCCACGGCAGGGAGCCAGGCTGGGGGGAGGGACAGAGCCCCTTCCTCTGCAGGAGACATGGCCTTCTCTCTCACCAGGGTGGGCACGGCCCCCTCCAGCCCCAGGCAGGGGCTCACTGACCGGCAACGAGATCGACTGGCCCCTTGCCGCCAGTCCTAAATGCCAGGATTGCACAGGGGCAGCTGAGAGGCCCAGGGCTGGTTGGCCAAGAGTCCACCTGCACCCCCCTCCCCAAACATGGGTCCACCCTGCTGCCCCCCACTATCCCTGCCCCTCCACCTCACCAGCACAGATCCATCCCCTGCCCACCCCCACCCATCCCCCACTCTTGCAGCACGGGTCCACTCCCCACCCCGATCCTGCAACACGGATCCATCCCAACTCCTCTCCACCTCCCAGCGCATGGGTCTTTCCCCGCTGGGATCCATCCCCCAGCAGCCAACACGAATGAGTGATTCCTTCTCCCCCGCCAGGCCTGCTCCACCTGGACCTGGCCCGCTGCAGCCTACGGGGATCTCAACAGGCGCGTAAGGGGCCGGCACTCCCTCCACGAGCCCCTAGAGGCCCCTGCGTTCACGCGGGGAGGGGGCTGGTGCCCAGAACACAAGCTCCGGAGGAGTGTCGAACTGGGATGGGGCTGGAGCTGCGGGAAGAGACGGGGGCTCCCCATTTCCTACCACCGGGCCAGATCTGCAGATGGTGCAGTGACAGGAGTCGACCTTCTCCACCCCGGCTATTGCGGAGAAGGGCGGGCCGGTGGCTCGGGTGCCAGCTGGGATGGGGGCGAGACGAGTTCAATTCCTGGCGCTGCCACGGCGTCCCTCTGCACCCTTGGGTGCGTCCGTGAGGGTGCGTCCCCATCATTGCCAGCTCAAGGAACCAGAGCCGCGCTAGCTCTGCCCCAGCCCGCCCGCTGACAGTAGGGAGTGGAGTTGCAGCAGGAGGAGCGTGATCCCGTGGGAGACACTAGCCATGGACTCGGGGCAGCTGGCTCCTCCCGCGGCTACACTGCTGCTGTTAGCGTGCTGGCGGGATCAGACCTCAATTGGCTACATCCCCTCGAGCTGGGAGTGACGCGCAGATGCACCCTTATGCTCTCTGGCCCAGGCCCGCAAAGGTATTTAGGCTCCAATGGAAGCGAGGAGCCTAAGCACTTTAGAGGATCTGTGCCTCAGTTTCCTCA